TTTTTTTTTTGCTTCAATGAAGAGTGCTTAAGTCAACCAAACCCTCAGAGAACTGGAAGAAAAGATCTCTCACCTGATACCGATCCCACGTCTGTTTGTAACCCAGTGCTAAACGTGACAAATATATTACAAATGCAGAGACTGCAATCGCATCAAGCAAGACCGCAGATCTGCATAACAATTGGGTCGTGCTGCTGATTAATTAGGAAAATAATGTTGCTCGGAAACAAATTATGTGAGTTATAAACTAATAAAAGAAAAAAGCAAAGTAATGAGTATAATAAAAGGACAAATCCACTTATGTCAGTTGACTAAGTAAATGGATGAAGATGAGAATCTACAATAGTTATGACTTATGAGCTCTTTATATTGGAGCGACAAATAAAAGGACAAATCCACCTATGTCAGCTGACTAAGTAAATGGATGAAGATGAGAATCTACAAGAGCTATGACTTATGAGCTCTTTATATTGGAGCAACAAATAACTGAAAAATATCAAGTTATTGCTTGATTTTTTGTAAGGATAACCAATGAAATTTCCAGATTTTTTTTCATGTAGAGAAAGGTTATTTATTATTGATCAAGAAATTCCGAGTGCAATCCTAAACCTCAAGAACGCTTCTCAATCACAACATCCTCTCATTTAAATACAATGTAATTCCAAGGACCATTTGTTATTACTTTTATCTTAGATCAGCAATAGAGTCTTGAAAGAAGTAATATAAAATCGTCTGAGCTTCACTAAACTCTTTTTCATTACTTTTGGTGTAGACACTGCAAGATACGAAGTCACCAGCAAAATATTGAGTTAAACTTTATGCAGGACTGAAATCTTCTTCTTTGAAGTGCCTTCTTTTGTTTTTTGTCTTCTTTTTTACTCTATCTCTTATCCGTTGTATAGTAGTAAAACACCTCAGCCTACCCTATTCCTCTTCTCCTTTGCTGAAATATGAAGCTCTGGTAGTCTATCCAATGAAAATAATCTATACATAGCTGTCCTTGTACAAACAACTGTTCTCTACATGAAAGAAGTTATTGTTAATAAACCAAAGTTGGGAACCACTTTTCAAGGAAATGAAAACGGACACAACCACGCTCTTATCACATGCTCCTCCCCCAAAGTCTGGGAGATGGTCTTTGGACAGCGACAGCCATGATATGGCAATTCTTAATTTAAAGAACTGCAGTAAAATGGGTGCCATATCCATGTTTGCCTCCTCACATTATGGTAGCGGGATCATACCTCGATACTTCAATAGTGATAATAAGGACTTACAGAAGGTAATAAATTCCCACGTATCTGATAAAAATATAAACAGGAAGCTCAAAGTAATTAATGGAACTTTTTTCCATTTGGGTCAAGCAGTTTTGGAGATCAAGGGTTTGTATTCAAACTCTTTGTATTCGGTGGTGTATTAGGCATGAACATTTATAGTCTGCTTTTGCAACTCTTTTGCAGAGGTCCCCATTCACCCTCTAGGTGTAAATGATGTTGATCAAGTGTTTAAGTGCTTATATTTGGTAACAAGGTAATATGTGAAATGTATTGTGTTATAATTTTGTCGAAATTATTAATCTATCATATAGGTCCTAAGTCGGGACCGGAGAACTTTATTATCAAAGGGAGATTATTAACTTACCGAGTATCAATTCAAAGAGGTTCTACTGTATTGTTTTATTTGGTAACAATCATTTAAATATGTAAATGTGATAAAAGTGATGTTTTAAATGGAATTAAAAACCTCATTTATTTTGCAACATAACATTGGAAGTAAAATTTGCACTCACGGAGATGATAGAATGTCCTCAAACTTGTAGTTCACCAAGAATGCCAAAAGTCCCAATATGCTTGCAACATCCAAGCGCACCTGCGGATGAAACTCACACAGTCACATTTGGTAAAAATTGGCACAGATATTTTGGAAAATGCCAACTTCCAGTAATAAAGAAGTGCCCAGTTAAACAGGTGTTGCCTATGGTAAAAAATTAAAGGGTACTACAATGGCAAGTTAACCTTAATTAATAATATAAAATGATTTTAGAATGTACTTTCGGGTAAATAACACCTTCCCCACTATTACAAGGTTCTTGATCCACATTAGAACACTAGACTCGCCACTTCAGATTTACTTGCAAGTGTTGAGATGTTTAGTCCCACATTGGACATTGTCGGGCCTTGCTTGTAATATTTAAGTTTCTGGGCTACACCACTCATAGCCAATTGGTTTTGAGTTGGACCCCAGGACTTTTATATGGTATCAGAGCGGGCTTTTATTCTGGGCTAAAGGCCCATGTGTCACCTATTTAATGAATCCACGTGTTAGGCTCAAAATCATGCCACACGTGAGGGGGCGTGTTGAGATCTTTAGTCCCACATTGGACATTATCGGGCTTTTCTAGTAATATTTAAATTCCTAGGCTACACCACTCATTGCCAATTGGTTTTGAATTGGACCCCCAGAATTTATATATGGTATCAAAGCGGGCTTTTATTCTGGGCCAAAGGCCCATGTGTGCTCCACGTCACCTATTTAATGAATCCACGTGTTAGGCTCAAAGTCATGCCACACGAGAGGGGGCGTGTTGAGATGTTTAGTCCCACATTGGCCATTGTCGGGCCTTGCAAGTAAAATTTAAGTTCCTGGGCTACACCACTCATTTCCAATTGGTTTTGAGTTGGACCCCCAGGACTTCTATAGTAAGGAAGTTTTTTTCAGAAATAGTAAATGGAAATTGTTTCAAGACAAACAGATTCTTGAATGAATACAAAATAGAAACCTTGCTTGATGTAATACCGTGTCTAGGATACGGAAGGATAGCTTTTTGTCTGGAAAAACAACCTGCAGAACGAAAACCGTCTCTCTATCACCGTAATTATAGAAACAAATTGTTAAAAGAAAACCAGAACTGGATCAGAGAATTATTGATCTGAGGAGAGCATTGGACGTCATAATGCTTTAAGTATTTACAGGAAGATCCGGAATGGGGATTCTCTCATAGATCTTCAACTTCAGTGAAGACATCTCAGCTTTATATTCATTTTCTCTTTGGCCTTGCTCCTCGTTATAGAGCAAAATTAATTCTTGAAAAGCTGGCTCCTAATAGAGGTTTATATAAACAAAACAAGTGTTATCAGAGATATAGATATCACCATGACCTTCACCAACAATATATTACCCCATTTCATTGTATCAGAGATGGGAGGGAGTGCATAAAGAAGACAAATGATGGGAGAATACCTGAAGAGTTGACTGTGAGAAAAGAATAGATATGGCAGTTTTCAACATTCTCAAGGAATCATTTCCACAATATTCCTTTGTAGCAGGTCTCCATATATCACCAAGTGTTATCCTTGATAAGAAACTAGGCCTGGAAATCAATTCAAGTACTCAATTATCATATGAAAGCCAGTATAGATATAGTGCGCAATATATCTTTGTTTTAGATAAGCATGAACCAGATCTACAATATGCCGAATGAATTAAAATGAATTTATTATCAACTTCCAGTTTCTTTATATTTTGCCTCTTTCCTTGTTGTCAACAAAAGGCAAAAGCTTACATGTTTCTTAACGTGAACAACTTACATGAAATTTTTGTATTGTTGTTTTGTCAAACAAGAAGCAATTGCTAATCAAAGAAAGTAATGAAACAATGGAGGATGGATATAGTATGATGAAAGGGAAAATTTAGAGAATTACAGTAACCACTAACCTTAAAAAAGGTTCAGAGGTGGTATTATCGCTGTTAAGATCAGGTGATGGTTTTGGTGCAGACGGAATGAGACCAATCCATGTGAGTAATTTCCTCAAGAGCCTTCCGCGAGGTCCAACTGATGACAAAAGGCCTTCGTAACGAGGCACTGCCCTTTGTGCTGCGAGCCAAATAGGAAGATCACTAACAAATAGTTGATTCGATGCTAATTGGTTATCAAATGTTCTGTCATCGTCAGAATATGCTTGCTGTGAGAACGACTCCTCGAGCCACACCTTGAATCTCTCAATCCAGATTTGTAGTTCTTGTCTCGGACTAGCACTTTCAAATGCCTGTTTCCATGAAGAAGGAGCCAAATTTTCATCTCTAATCACCTAAAATCAGCAAGCTATGGGTTTAGAAGAAAAGTTACAGAAAACAGGGATCATAAGAAATATAATATATATCTATATATAGATTCTGTATGCATGTGTGTATATTGGATGCTGATCAATGATGTTTAGGAAATTCCTAAACAAGGGGCAACCAGACCTCAAGCCCATATAGATATTAAATTGTACACTTATATTGGAATACTCCTGTGGCATCTCCTAAAGAATACTTTTCCAAGTCCTCAAGTGAGCTAACTAGCTAAGTGAACTTCATGCATCGAATTTGTTAGAATAGATCAACGGATGTGTAT